AAACTAAAAGTCCATCACAGATTAACAAGAAGAACATCAAAACCTAAATAAATAAAGAAGTAAATAAATGATCCTTGGGAACACGATGCATCAATATAGGATGCTGTGTATGGTATACTTGCACCATAAAGTGAATACGCTCCAATGACAATGCCAAACAATTTATACAGAAAAGCTGATTACAAAGCCACATTCACAGTGGAAACACTCAGAATGTCCAATGGGAATATAAAAAAATAGTACACAGATAGACACAATATGACTTCTATACTTACCACAAAGCTACAACAATCAAGAATGTGTACAGTGTTGGTCAAGGAACAGAGGGGATGGAGAGAAAAAGCCAAGAACAAAGGCAGGAAAGCTGTCAACTTTTAATAAAAAAAAAAAAAACAAGGAAACTCATCCAGGAAACGTGTAATCTTGACTAATGTTACCCATCTCCCTATGAGTCTAAGTGTATAGATTAAATAAACACAGACTTCACAACTTCCACAATATTAACTCCAAGTAACCCTCAAGTTGTCGTTTCTGACCTCCAGCTACCGGTATTTCTTCCAAAGACAGAAGCCCATGCTCTAATGCTTTCTGTAAATGGAGGTGATCTCCTGCTATGGCTCCTTGTGGTTTCAGGTAAACACAGCCCTACTGATGCCCAATCCCAAAACAACACAGAAAAATAATTTAAAGTCTGCTTCCTGACACATGGATCATGGCACAAGATGTGGAATCTGCCCTATCCACCTGCCCAACACCATGGACACCTGAGAAATCTCTGCAGATCAGAAACTCCCTTTGTCCCCTGGAACTGAACTTCACTGGATCACACCATGGTGGCTGGTGGTAGCAGAATGTTAAGAGCATTCTAATCATATATTGCTGAAGGATGATCCACATCATCTCTTTCTGCCAGTTCCTAAATTATTTGTAACATTTAGAAGATAAGAATGCAATATTCAGAACTTCTAGGAACCAAACCTTCACTTTTTCCAATTTCTTTTCCTACCAAACAACAGAAGCTATGCTTGTGTGTGCACACTGGATAGTGATATCACAAGCATCACATCCTCCAATGCCAAAGTTAAACAGCCACTTTATCCCCAGGAAATCCCACACAGGGAGGCTCCGAGGAAAAGGGCCACTGCCCAGGTCATCACATGGACCAACAGAACCACAGACTGACTCATGGTCCATTCAAGTCCCAGCAGAAATGACAGCACAGCAGACCTGCTCTGAACATCCCACCCTCATGATGGTATTGCTTGTGATCTTCCTTACAACTCCCTACAGCAGAAGCAAAGAATCCTGGAAAGAACCTGCAAACTAGTACTGCTATTGCCAAGCCTTATCAGAGACCCTCATTAGCTATGGCCACCCAGCTGGGCCTCAGAATGGATGAGCAGAGCTCAAACGACTCAGGCACCACAAGTGTTTCAAGCTCTACACTTCCAGCCCAGGAAACAGAGCCCCAGTCTGCAAAGTCTGTATTTTAGTAGACATTCCTCCACTCTCCCAGAGCACTTCTCATTCCTCCTCCAAGGCCCAGGGTCCTTTATGTGCACATTCCATTACACACTCAGTGTCCAGTGCAGCCAACCCTTTGCTACTTAGTTGGGAAGTCCTACAGCCAAACAGGACACATTCAAACAGTGACCATTGATAAAGCAAAAAAGAAGCCATGAATAAGAAAACAATGAAGGGTCAATGTATGGCTTGGAGGCAACAAGGAGACTCTGGGTGTGATGGAGTTTTTCTCTCAAATAGTTATTTTGAAAAGTTCAAACAGGCTTCTGGGCCTTATGCTCCCGAGGCTAGGGACTTATATGAGAGCACTCCAAGGATGACTCACATTTTTCACTTTAGCCTGTACATCTTATACCAGGAAAATAACAGTCCTGTGAGGCAGGGCCACAACATTTTACAAAGATCCTTCCTCTATGTTGGGTGAACTAGTGTAACTGCAGGAATTTAGTTACATGATAAGCTCAGTCCTTTGCCCAGATTCTTGATTGCTATCATCTCTGGAAGTCAAGAAATGGCCAGTCAGGACATTTATTGATGCCTAAAATTGATTACCTGGCTCCATATTGCTAAAATCAATACTGCCAAAGCAGGAAAGATCTCACCCTCCTTCCTGCATTCCTTCTCTGTGCTGTGAGTTCATCAGCCTCAAAGTTGGTCAGGGAACTCAACTCTTGCACAGGTCCTTCTTCATTTGTAACTCTCCAGTAAGTCAGAGAGATTGGGGGACACTCATTCCCTGGCCTCTTATCCTTCTCACTGACCAGTCAAGGCCCAGCCTGGAAGAAGTTGCAGGACTGCCTTCCCAGCCCTGGGCAGCAGAGGCAGGATTAGGTATTCGGAGTATTTCTCAACTTCATAGCTCCAGGCAAGCCTGGGCTACAGGACATATTGCTCTAAGCAGAAATAAATAAATCAATAGCACTTGAGAAAAAAGGGATGACATTCTTAATGATCAAGAAACATTGGAGAACAGAAACAGAGATAAGATCAATAATGCACATAAAAATGTTAAAAATGATACCAATAAGTGGCATTTAAAATAATAAAAATAATATATTTTCAAGATTAAATGACATAGCTCTATTGACTTTGAAAAAGGGTAGGTCCTTCCCAAGTAGAGGGAAGACTATTAATAAGAGACTGATTGATCTTGCCTGTAAGTACATGTTGGCTGCTGAGATCTGTAACCTGACAAACACAGTTACAAACAGTGGCCTGTTTCTCAAAGTTCTCAGCTGACTTAAACTATGTGAATCAGGACTGAATGTATCTGCACAGGAGAGTCTCCTAACGCAAATTCAATATTCACTACCTCAAGGTAACTTTCTCAAATTTTACACCCACCATCTGGTCTGTCTTTATTCATATGACATGAAACAATACATTCTGGAAAATTGCAAATTAATTCCTCCTGCCACAATCAGGTCCTTTTTCATAATGGTGACTCCAGCAGCTGACTGCCTACCCTGTTTCCCCCTGCAGTGTACACAATAAACTATTCCTCCTAAACTGGTCTGAAGACAGAAGCCATGAAGCACATGAAAATCCTTTTCCTGTAACTGCCATAGACAGTCTACTACATGACTCAAATGGATAATTTTAAAACTTTGAGGTGGTAGTCTTTTAATTTAAGAATTTTTGGAAGTGTAATATAGGACAACAAGGTCATTGCCCTGGAGTGCAACAGTCTGAATTCAAGGCCACCTGAGTCAATAGAAGACCGCTTGTCTCAGAAACATTTTGCTAAAGGCTGGAAATACAGCTGCTCTGGAAATACTTTGTCTTCCCGGGGAGAAATCACTCCACACACTTAGGAGATTAATATAGAAAAGTCTCTTTAATGATAGCATGCTTCTATCTCTGTCTAATGCTCACAGAGGAGCCAACCTGGACAGAGTCTGCATTCCACTTATGCTGTCATCCTTAGGGTTCTTTTAGGTTCATGCCCCAGGCTACACTTTGAACAACTTACACAGGGACAGGAGACTGCAAGTCTGAACACTTAGGCAGATGGAGACTTACACAGCAAAGATATTATCAGAATTACTTCTGAAGTACACCAGTGACCTGATACAGCAGGTCATTCTTCAGTGACAGGGTCCTGAGGTGAAAGTGCCAGGGAATGAGAAAGACAGGAAAAGTAGAAGGTAGAAAAGATAAAAGCTGGGGTGGGGAGGTCTTGCACAAGCTATGTCTCATGCCAAGAAAGCTTCATGAGAACAGCAACATCATGTATACACTTCCAGCGGGAAATGGAAGGAAGTGGGGAACTTCTATGAAGTCAGCAGAAACTGTCACACAAGGGGACAAATTCAGGAGGAGTCTAATCAAATAATACTGCACAAGGGGACACAGTGTCTTAAGGACATTGCTGACTCAGCCTACAGTGGCCCTGGAACTGACAACCACAGCTCCATGTGGTGGGAAGAGTTGGGTTCTCAGGATCTGAAGCAACCCCTCCACAAAGGCCCTGGCCCCAGACCACTACCAGCTCTATAGTCCTGGTTTTAGAGAAGGAGCTCTGTTTCATTCTCAATATATCAAGGCCTTAGGCCAAGCTCCCAAGGCCTAGACTCCAGGCTGTTACTAGCTCTCCCAAGAATATTCTTCCTCCCTGCCTGAGGACCTAAGTAAAACACAACAGTGTTTTACTTTTCCAATAGTTGTCACCTGGTGTCATACTGCTCATCTCTCAGAACTATGCTTTTCTCGAGAAAACTGGAACTTGAAGGCACACCAGGCCTTAAGGGAGGTTGTGACCCTGTAATGCCTCCTTGAGCAGCTAGTTAGAGGCCTGTTCTTTGATACAGGAATGGGCCTAGTGCCTGGTAGTCAGTCAGGGGTGTCTCCTTTTTGACTGTTTGGAGCCAAATGTCTGGACAATTCTGGTCAAAAAAATATGTAGCCTAACATCCTTATCGCTACCAGGCCTGGTTAGCACAGACTCATCTTTGGAGTATTGTAGAGGCAGTCCTCCCTTAGCTACATTGTGAAACTATCTACCAAGATTTGCAAAACATTTATATCACCAATTCTTCTCTTCATCACAGCTAAGTAGTAGAGTGCTACCCAACACAAGAGATGCCTTTTACAACCTCCACAAAATTAGCTGTAAATGATCTTACAGGTAAAGGTTAAATTCAAAGTGCTGAATGTCTAGAAGATACTGGAGAAAGCAGGCCTCTCCAAGTTTGGCACCCTGCCTGCCATGGATGCACCAAAAGCATGGTGTTATTGACTACAAATGTGTTTCTACACACAGCTCCCTGCTCCCAATGCTCTGAAAAGACGCAGCCCACAGATCAAAGTTATTCTGAGGCCTGTGCATCCAGGGAGTTGCAGGGACCATGTGGGAATGCAAAGGACAGGGAATCTGGCTGCAGATTCCTACACAGCCCCAAGGAGGACCCGCCAAACTGCCTCCTGCACCTCCCCATCTGCTCATCCTCATCTGCGGACAGCAGCTCCTCACTCACCATGTCGTGGCTTCCCAGTTCGCCCATTGCACTCTCACAGATTCGCACAGCAGCACTCACAGCACAGCACACAAAGGCACTGGCATCAGCTCCTCTGCAAAGCCAAGCCCTCCGACTCCCGGAAGGGCCCTGCACCACTCTGACTGGCAGTTTGGCTTGGAGGCCCTGATTGGCTAGTGAGGCCTGAGTGACAGGAGCACCTCCCTTAGGGTTACAGTGTGCTTAAAGACACAGCACAATGGTTTCTGACCCTGCCTTCCACCCCAGACCCAGACCTTTTCCAGGCTGCAGAGATATGCATTTCAATAGCACATGCTCTGGCTCCTACAGCTGACCCTGTGGTCTTCCTGCACTCCATAGGCACTTCCCCTTCTTCCTCCAGAACACTACGTGACTAATTTGCACAGCCATTTCCTCAATGTGGAGTGGAGTGATTTCCTGTCCCACAGGTGAAGGGTGCCCAGAATACTCACAGTTTTAAAGAGAGATTTAAGGACACAAAAGGAGATGTTTGTTCGGTGGCTTCACGCTGAGGTGAGGTGAACTGAAGGTCCTTTTACCTGTTAGTCACAGGCACTTCAGAGAACAAGGGGAGAAATGCAGGCACCAGATAAAAACACAGAATGATAGATTTGTCTCCCACCAGAAGGCTGAATGATGGCTCCATTGCTGTCGAAGTTTTCTTCCGGAATTCAGGGCAAAGTCTTGACAAATGAATAATTATAAAAAGAGTAGTCTTCAAAGTAAGTTGAATAGTTAGAGAATAATGGAGCTAGGAAGAATGTCTTTATGAGAACTATTGTTCACCAGCACATCTTCTTCAGTGGGCAAGTGAAAAAAAAAAGGTTGCATAATTTAAGGTTGTCTTCATGAGCAGAACTGGTAAAACTCAATCTCTCCATGTGTGTAGAAAGTGGATTTATTAGAATGTCTCCCAAGCCATGGTCCAGCCAGTCCAACAATGGCTGTCTACCAATGGAACGTTGAAGACTCCAGTAGTTGTTCAGCCCATGAGGCTGGATGTCTCAGCTGGTCTTCAGTATACACCAAAATTAACAAGATGTAGGCTCTAATGCCTTTAAAGGAATAAACTTGGTAGCCAGGGATAGGGCAAGCAGGCAAAGAGAGAGAGCTTCATTCTTCAATACCCTTTATATATGTAGGTGGCTACCAGAAGGTGTGATTCAGATTAAAGGTGGATCTTATTCTTGGTTTGAAGGATTTTTGCTGTTTTTGAGACAGAGATAATATGTGTAGCCCTGAAACAGATTCTGTAGACCAGGTTGACTTCAAACTTAGAGAAGTTGACTTCCTCTGCCTCTTGAATCCTGGTGTGAAAGCTGTGCACTGCCACCAAGATGCCATAGGTGGATCTCATCACCTCAAATGATCCAGATTTAAGATGGGTCTTTAAGTTCAAAATCTTTAAGAAAATTCCCTGACAGGTGTACCCAAGACTTTGGGTTTTTGTTCATTCCATAGATAGTCCATTTAGGTACCAAAAATAGCCATCACAACAGCCAAGACAGAGAACTGAGAAAGATTTCTTACCTGCAGGAGGGAAGGAGAGCATGGGAGTCATTTCCAAAGCAGTGTTTTTCCTAAACAAAGGAAGCATGGGGACTTACTGAGGGAGTCTGCACATGTTCATGGAGAGTTCTGCCTATTCCTAAGCATGCTCAGTTAGCAAATCCACTTCTGAACACGATCACAATGGAAAAGCAGGGACATTTGGGACATTCTTAGCTCAAAGTCATGCCAGAACATATATAAATTATCAAAATAATGGAAGGAAATGACTTCTGGTATGTCCATCTTGTACCACAAGGTCTTAGCTGAAAATTTTGTAAATCACACTATAAAAGTAGATTGCTTTGGAACCTATGCTACATGTCTGTGGGGCATTTACCCACCAACTCCACAGCTCCCCAGAGTTTTTTTGAGTGTGAGCAGCAGGGAATATTAGATAGAAGGATTTATATTGCAGAGAGAAACAGATAGAAAATAAAGGATAGCCTTGAGAGGGCTTGAAATCTTTTCCAATGGGCCCTGACTGTCTCTGCCTCAGGGTATTTATAGAGACGCCAAGGGATGGAGCAAAAGACTTCCCCCCCAGCACAGCCAAGTGCAGACCATTTCAGACACCTGCACTCAGGCCCGTGGCCCTAATCATCCTCCATGCGGACTTGCTGGGTAAAGCCACGAGGAACCTGAAAATGGGCTCCCACAGGTCCCCCTTTGTTAATATATAAAAAATAACTCATTAATAGCTTACAGAAATCTCCATAGCTGTTATACCTCCAAGTATGGGAGTAGAGGATGATAATGATGGCATTTCTCTTTTGGATTAGGTCCAAGGTGACTATAGCAGCCTTTAGCTGCATCCATCCCTTTCTAAATCAAAAACTCTTAATGTAATTGCAAACTTAAAGAATCCCTTATTTCATAATTACCAGTAACAAGTTAACATAAATATTGCTATCCACAGTTACAATTCTCTCAATCTTAAAACTCAAAGCAAACTCTTAACAGAACCATTTGAAGTAACATATATGGTGCTATGTATAGTTAACAATTTTCTCAGTCTTACAACTTTAACTCTTAGTAGAAATATTTGAATTTTCTTGCTAACATCAAACTTATATATTTCCTTAACTCCACAAAACCAGGGTGCATTAATATTAATAGGTTAAACAAAATTTCTGCAAACATACATTCAACCTTAATTCACTAATAACTCCTCCTTTTCTTTATAATTTTTAAAAATAGTCTCAAACCTAGTTAGAAGAAAACCCAAACTCATACAATTCCTACAAACCCATATTGAAAAGCAATATTTTCAATCTAACCATTAACACTTTGAAAACTTTTAGCAAAACATCCAAAAGCAGTTTCTTTCTTTCTTTCATTTATTTATTTATTTATTTATTTATTTATTTATTTATTTATTTATTTATTTATTTATTTATTTATTATGTATACACGCCTACACACATCCCTGTAGTCACCATGTGATTGCTGGGAATTGAACTCAGGTCCTCTGGAAGAACAGTCAGTGCTCTTAACCTCTGAGCCATCTCTCCAGTCCCCCAAAAGCAGTTTCTTAATAAAACTCTTTACACTTTTAAAGTAATCTGTTAGTATACCCCATTTGCATTTCTTACTAACAAAACATGACATTAATCCACTCAAACAACAAGAAAATATTGTTTAAATTAAATAGACAAAGGAATATTTGTAGATGAACGGTCTTGTTAAATAAGAAACACAGAGCCAATGCAGAGATGAAAGCCCAAGAGGTCAGAGCTAAAAACCTTATCGTTCACTGCTGCTGCTGTCTTCCTCAGCAAGAAACCTACTTCCTGTGTGTGTTTGCGCTTTTTATTGACTTTCTATTCTGCCTTCTCATTGGTTGTAAACCCAACCACATGACCTCCTTGTCACTGGCCATCTATACAGACCTCCAGGTCTTCTATGGTTGGTATTGAGATTAAAGGCATGTGTCTCCATGTTGGCTGTGTCCTTGAACACACAGAGATTTGCCTAGCTCTGCCTTCCAAGTGCTGGGATTAAAGGCATGCACCACCACCACCCAGCTTATGCTATGGCTTTCTATTAGCTCTGATCCCCAAGCAACTTTATTTATTAACATAGAAATAAAATCACATTTCAGTACAAATAAATATCACCATAAATATTAACTCTCCCTTTTCTTTATAATTTTTTTAAGCAAAATCTCAAGCCTAATAAGAAAAAACAAACTTTTCCATTTAAACAGTTCCATTTGTAACACAAAACCAGTTCCAAAAGTAATTCCATTTTTACATAAACAGTTCCATAAAACAATTCATTAATCACCAGTTAATAAAGCATATATGCATACACAAAACTGCATCTTGAGTTATGGTAGAAACAATAAACATATTGTCGTTCTCTTAACTAGACAGGAAGTACATACATCATTTCTAAAGTTTAGAGTTTATAGTCAGCTTTGCTATACAACACTGGGATTTAGTGAGTGTTGTCGTTATAGAGTTGTGATACTTATTGCTAGGAGACTAACATTTAAACCGTTCCATTTTTAACCCAATTCCAGAAGACAGTTCCTAGGTCATTACTATATAAGTAAACTCAAAATTGTCCCATTGCAATGAAATCACTATTTTTCATTTCATTTCTCAAGTCCCAAAATTCAAATGATAAATTCTGGAACAGCCTTCCAAATATGAAGAAATTCATAACAAAAATCCTTTTGTAGTTTTATCTCATTATTTTAAATTCAAAAATGTTCAAAAAAGGGGTTGGAGAGGTGGCTCAGTGGTTAAGAACACTGTTCTTCCAGAGGTCCTGAGTTCAATTCCCAGCAACCACATGGTGGCTCACAACCATCTGTAATGGGATCTGATGCCCTCTTCTGGCCTGCAGGCATACATGCAGGCAGAACACTGTATACATAATAAATAAATAAATCTTTTTAAAAAAATGTTCAAAAAAAAAAAGTAAATTCTGGTATCAGACTTTCACTTCCAAATTTGAAGAGACATTTTACAACCAAAACTTCTTGCAGTTAACAATTTTAGTTCAAACAAGCATCTCTGCAACTTTTGTTCTCACAGAGATCTTTTTAGGTACAGTAGTGTTCAAAACCACTGTTTTTGATGTTAGCCTAGGTTTTTTTGTGTTGTGTTGATTTTCCATGGATCTCAGCTGCAGATGCCTTGTGCTGGTTCTGGCATCTGCCATTCTTAGCTTCTTAGCGGTTTCTGGAGCTTTTGAAAACAGCACAGACTGCCGGCTTTGCAGTCTACTAGGACACTACTTTCTGTGTTTCAGGTTTTTTCACCATATACATTAAGCATAGACTCACACTTAACATTTACACTTTTTTACAAACTCACATATAACATATTAACATCTACTTATTTATACTCCTAAAGGAAACTATAGAACCACTTTAGCAAATATATTTATTACTTCTTATATACTTCTTATATTCATTCCATCTTATTCTTATTTAAACTTACATTTACAATTAGCATCTTTACTTCTTACAAGCTTATTACTACATGTCTTAAGACT